ACATAACAAATATTTACAGAACATTCTACCCAAGAATTGCAGAATATACATTCTTCTCATCCAACGTGAAACATTCTCCAGGATAAACCATGTGATAGGCTTAAAACAAGTCTCAATATGTTTTTAAAAGTCAAGTTGTTTCATAGTTCTGCGTGGCTGGGGAGGCCTCAGGAAACTTATAATCATGGCAGATGGTGAAGGTGAACCAAGCTTGGACCTTCTCATATGGTGGCAGGAGAGAGCAGAGAGCAAAAGGGAAAGAGCCCCTTGTAAAACCATCAGATCCTGTGGGAACTCACTCACTATCATGAGAACAGCATGGAGGAAACTGCGCCCATGATCCAATCACCTCCCACCAGGTCTCTCTGTAGACACATGGGGATTATAAACCAAGATTATGGAGATTACACTTCAAGATGAGATTTGGGTGGAGACACAGCCAAACCATATCATTCTGTCCCTGGTTCCTCCCAAATCTCATGTCCTCACATTTCAAAATACAATCATGCCTTTTCAACAATCCCCCAGTGTGTTAACTCATTCCAGCATTAACCCAAAAGTCCAAGTCCAAAGTCTAATCTGAGACAAGGCAAATCCCTTCCACCTAGGAGCCTGTAAAATCAAAAGCAAGTTAGTTACGTCCAAGATACAATGGGGGTACAGGCATTGGATAAATGCTCTTTTTTCCAAATGGGAGAAATTGGCCAAAACAAAGGGGCTATAGGCCCCAGGCAAATCTGAAACCCAGCAGGGTAGCCATTAAATTTTAAAGTTCCAAAATGATTTCCTTTGACTCCCTGTCTCACATCTGGGTCATACTGATGCAAGAGGTGGGCTCCCATGGTCTTGGGCAGCACTACCCCTGTGGTTTTGCAGGTTACAGCCCTCCTCTAAGCAGCTTTCACAAACTGTGGTTGAGTGTCTGCAGCTTTTCCAGGCGTCTGGTGCAAGCTGTGGATGGATCTACCATTCTGTGGTCTGGAGGAGAGTGGCTCTCTTCTCACAGCTCCACTAGGGAGCACCCCAGTAGGGACTCTTTATGAGGGCTCCAGTCCCACATTTCCCTTCTGCACTGCCCTACCAGAGGTTCTCCATGAGGGCTCTACTCCTGCAGCAAACTTCTGACTGGACATCCAGGCATTTCCATTACATTCTCTGAAGTCTAGGTAGAGGTTCCCAAACCTCAGTTCTTGACTTCTCTGCACTCACAGGCCCAACACCATGTGGAAGCCACCAAAGCATGAGCTGAAGCCATGGCCCGAGCTGTACCTTGGCCCCTTTTAGCCATGACTGGAACTGAAATGGCTGGGATGCAGGGTGCCATGTCTCAAGGCTGCACAGAGTAGCAGGGCCCCTGGGCCTGGCCCATCAAACTATTTTTCCTTCTAGGCCTCCAGGCCTGTGATGAAAGGGGCTGCTGGCAAGATCTCTGACATGCCCTGGAGACATTTTCCCCATTGTCTCGGCTCCTCATTACTTATGCAGATTTCTGCTGCAGGCTTGAATTTCTACCCCAGAAAATGGGTTTTTCTTTTCTATCACATCATCAGGCTGCAAATTTTCCAAACTTCTGTGCTCTACTTCCCTTTTAAATGTAAGTTCCAATTTCAAACCATCTATTTGTGAATCCATAAAACTGAATGCTCTTAAGAGCACCCATGTCACGTCTTGAACACTTTACTGCTTAGAAATTTATTCCACCAGATACCCTATCATCTCTTTCAAGTTCAAAGTTTCACAGATCTCTAGGGTGGGGGCAAAATGCCACCAGTCCCTTTGCTAAAGCATAGCAAGAGTGACCTTTGCTCCAGTTCCCAATGAGCTTCTCATGTTCATCTGAGATCACTTCAGCCAGGGCTTCATTGTCCACATCACTAACAGCATTTTGGCCAAAACCATTCAACAAGTGTCTAGGAAGTTCCAGACTTTCCCACATCTTCTTATCTTCTTTTGAGCCCTCCAAACTATTCCAACCTCTGCCCATTACCCAGTTCCAAAGTCACTTCCACATTTCCAAGTATCTTTATATCAGTGCCCCACTACCTCAGTGCCAGTTAACTGTGTTAGTTCATTTTCACACTGCTATAAAGAAACACCCAAGACTGGGTAATTTATAAAGGAAAGAGGTGTATTGACTCACAGTTCCATGTGGCTGGGGAGGCCTCAGGAAATTTACAATCATGGTAGAAGGTGAAGGTGAATGTGAAGCAAGCCTGGACCTTCTCATGCAGTGGCAGAGGAGAGCAGAGTGAGAGTGAAGAAGGAAGGGCCCCTTATAAAACCATCAGATATTGTGAGAACTCACTCACTATCACCAGAACAGCATGAGGGAAACTGCCCCCATGATCCAGTCACCTCCCACCAGGTGTCTCCCTAGATACATGGGGATTATGAGGATTATAATTCATGATGAGATTTGGGTGAGGACACAGCCAAACCATATCAGTAAAGTCTTAGGTTACAAAATCAGTGTGCACAAATCAGTGCACTACTATACACAAATAGTGATCAAGCTGAGAATCAAACCAAGAACTCAACCTCTTTTAAAATAGCTGTAAAATAATTAATAATAATAAATTATTTAGGAATATACTTAGCCAAGAAGATAAAAGATCCCTACAGGGAGAACTACAAAACACTGTTGAAAGAAATCATACATGACACCAATGGAAATACATCTGCTGCTCATGGATTGGAAGAATCAATATTATGAAAAAGACCTAACTGCCCAAAGCAGTCTACAGATTCAGTCCTTCTCCTATCAAAATACCAACATCATTTTTCACAAAATTAGAAAAAAATCCTAAAAGTCATATAGAACCAAAAAAGAGCATATGTAAATACATGTGTGTGCGCACATGTGTGCTTGCATGTGTGTGTATATGTGTGTGTATGTGATACTGAGACAAAGTTTTATCACTTAAAGGACTAAGATTTAGGTACTTCATTAATTTATTTACATGAACACCTAATTCCTTAATAATGTGAGATAATGGTTCTCTAATATCGCAGACCTGTTTTTCACAAATTTTACGTATTGAAAATATAAAAATCTGTTAAAGGAAGAACATTTTTCTTCTAAGTAGCTTCTTTCTCTGAGTTCATTCTGTTACTACAATACAATATTTATAAACTTATTGGCAGTTTGCCCCAGTAAAAGTAGTACAAGATATTTACAGGAATAACTTAAATCAGAATTAAAGTAATGATAATTGTTTGCTTTATATAATATGTTAGTTCTTCTAATCTTAGAGTAACCCACTCCTTTGGGTCATGTATTCTTATTTGTATTTATCTATCTACCTTTATGTCATGTTAGTTGCAGTATAGTAGGATAGTTTCTTGGTGTATGTACAGTCTCTGAAGTCTAAATATGTTTTGGAATATCTAGGGACATGAAACTCATGCATAAAAGTCAATTATAAAATAGTACATGATTTGGAATCAAATACTAAATTGTGTTGTTTAAATTATGAGTGTTACATAGAAATTTAGAAATGGGAAAGATTAACATGGGCTGAAATAGAGATGATGTTGAAGAACACACAAGTGGAATTGGATCCTACGTAGACATAGTTGGGTGTGTCTTTCTTGGGAAATGTGGTTGTGTGGTATACATTGGCCTTTCAGTGTGGCCATTACTGATGTGTACAGTTCAAAGTTTGGAGTTTCCCTGTTTGTCTTATTCTGTATCCCCGCAGCAATTTGAACAGCACTGAGCATGTAACAGATGCATGATCACTACTTGGATTAAAAGTCAATGAAGAAAGTGTATGATAATACATATTATATATAAATGTATATTTTATAGCATAATATTAAAAGCTAGGTTCTTTCATGACATATGACTACAAAGTAACAGGGCTGATTATTAATATACATACCAGAACTTCTTATGTACTGAAGTGAGTGGCATTCACCTTCAAAGTCATCATCATGGAAGCCTGCATACTCTTCTCCATAATACTGTCATTTCTCAAAATATTTTTGGAACTCCTTTTTTGAATTTCCCTCAGAGAGTCTGTGACTCATTCTTTTCAGTATCCTCAGAGTCTTTTTCAGCTAAGAGTGAATTTGGTTTTTGGAAGCAAAAGTCACGATAGGGCCAGGGATGGCGAGTAAAAGGATCTGCTGGGACATGCTACTTTGGATGACTATAAGTAATGAGTATTTTTCTTCCTTGACTCATAAAATAACCAAAGACAGTTATCTTTTTAAAACACAAAGTAAGTTGCAAGTTTTATCATTTTAAAACCAAGCCTTAGCTGGGTGCAGTGGCACATCCCAGCTACTGAGGAGGTCGAAGGAGGAGGATCTCTTGAGCCCAGAAGCTTGAGGCTAGCCTGGGCAACATAGTGGGATCTTGTCTCAAAAAAATAAAAAAGAAGAAGAAGAAGAAGGAGAAGGAGAAACAAAATCTGGATTACTCTTACATAACTGTCCTACTCCAGAATTGATCATGGCTTCCTACTTTTGGGGCCCCACCAGGCCTATTCAGCCTTACTTCCCACCCCCTACCACAGTCATCTTCTTTATTAAGCATTTGGTAAAATGGAGGATAGAATGGTTAATTTAACCTTTATTCAGTCTTGTCATGTTCTTGGGTGATCTCTGCAAGTGTTCATTATTATTGTAGCACTCGGTAGCTGGCAAAGATGTAAGAAGTTAGAGTGAATATACCTGGAACGTATTCTGAAAATCTGTTTGTTGGCGGGGGTGGATTTGTCTTTGTACCTTTTTACAAATTCTATCAGCATATTTTTCTCATTTGCCCTTTACTAAAGGCAGATGATCCGATTGTTTCATTGCAGATTACTTGAGGTTCTTGCAAGATATGACCTCTGGGTTCTTCAAGGAAGAAATTCCTGTTTTAATTGTTGAACCATACTTCAAAGATGATGTAAAGAATTTGCTGAAATATTTATGTTAAAACTCATTAGACATTAATGTGTTGTGGATAATTTCACTATATTGACATCTTTGTTTGTTTCCATATCTAGTTGAAAAATCTAAGTTTAGAAGAACTACAGATGCGATTAAAAGCACTGGACCCTATGATGGAACGGGAGATAGAAGAACTTCGTCAGAGATACACTGCGAAAAGACAGCCCATTCTGGATGCGATGGATGCAAAAAAAAGAAGGCAGCAAAACTTTTGAGTCTAATTTCCTGTCTGTTTTTAACTATTCTGGAGACCAAGAAACCACTAGGAATTGAAGGAATATTTGTATATTTTTAATCCTAAGATTTTGCCCTACAATTAGTCAGAGGTCAAAAACTGACAATGGTACATGCCCAGGTAAATTCCCAAAAGGCAGAATTGACAGTTGTATCTGCTGTGCATTCACTTTCAGATGAGGAGAACAAAAGAAGTGTATTCTCTTGTTCTGTCAGCTGCATACCAGCAGTAAAACTGTGTTTTGAAACGGAGGCTGCGTTTAGAGACCTTGAAAATCCAAAGCTATTGTTTAATTGTGCAGCACTGAAGGGCTTTATGTTACAATATTCTTTATTCCTATCTAGTATACTAGTCTATTTATTGTATCCCCTTAGGTAAACTTATTTATTTATGCTATTTTGCTTTGTTTTGTTTTTTAAGGACAACATCAGGATAGCTTTGGTGAAGATAGGGTCATATTAATACGATGATAATGTGCAACCAAATTATACTTTCTGCAGGGAGCTATGGGGTACATTCCTTGATTTCCAGGATAGTTTTCCAGTAGGAAAGTAATAATGGCAATAGTTCTCAAATGGGCTAGGCCTTTTTTATATCGAAGCAATAATTCCATTTTTACCCTTTGAAATTTTAATTTTTTGATTTTTGATGTTTGGTACAAATAGAACTATATATATTTAGGTAAAATAGATCTATCGTGTTTAAAACCAAAGAAATCAGTGGAATCCTTGCACAAAAAAGTATGATAAATATTTTTTAAAAAAAACTTAATACAAATGTAACTTGTTAATATTGTTTTATGTTTTATGTGTAGATCTAATAGCTGAACTGATTCAAACTGTAATAAGCTCATCAATTTCATTTCTATGAAAATGTGCTCTATTGTCACAGGATGTTTCTGTTGATTTTATTCATTTCCTGGGAATTGGTAAACATCATGTGCCTGATGATAACCCAGTAGCAAAAACATTTGTACTGAGTGGTACAAGCCTTGGGGACTGAAAAAAATTAAAAAAAAAGATTAAAACCATTAAAAAGAAATTCATTTTTACGCCGAATGAACATTTGTATGATTGCATTGGGACCAGTCATTTCCTAAGCTACATATGGCCATCTTGACAGTGTTTTTTCTTTTGTGTGTTTAATTATTATATGTAAATCATAAAGACAAATAAATTTCACTGTGCCACCCAGCACATTTCGTTTCTGTATCTTTGTTAAAACTCATGACCAGGACTCTGCATTTTCCAAGCAAGAGACGTATATTAGATAGGACAGGCTAGATTATGCAGTGCTGACAACCCTCACCCTTCAGCGGCTTCACATAGTACAGGTTATTCCTCACTCTTGCTCCAGGCCCACCCCAGGTTGGCAGGGCACCCTGCTCCTGTCATCCACACCCAGGGACCCGCTGACAGGGCCTCAACCATCTGAGATATCTGTGGTCACCACAATCAGGAGAAGGGGAGCTGGAGAGTTTCATACTAGCTCCAGCCAGCAGTGACACATGTCTGGTTGGCCACAACCCAGTATTCAGAATTAGTCACATGGCCACTCCTAACTTCGAGGGAGTCAGGAAGAGGAGCATCACCACGTAGCTGGAGGGGAGAAAACAGGAAAAGCTGATGAGTTCACTAATGTCTGTCACAGAAGGTGTATTGTCTCTGGAAAGCTTCCATTCCTTTTTAAAAATGATATTTGTACCCTAGGTAATGCCTCAAAGTGTCATTTGTCTCTCCCCTGTGGAGCTCTTACAAATAATAAATTGTATAATTGGATATAAATTATAAGATTATAGAAAGTGATAAGTATGAAACATATTAAGATTATTTAAAAATGAAGAACTGAATTTACAATATATGCTTCAGCAGATCTATACTGGAGTCTGTTGGGGACAGTTGTGTGAGTCGATCAACTGAAACACCCTGCCCCTTTTTCTTTTCCTAATTATTTTTCTTTTTACTAACCTGTTCGATACCTTGCCTGATTTGATGGAATCAAATGACTGATTTGCTGTCATCCAAGCAAAACCACCTACATGACATGGACAAGAAACCTATGAAGATGATTTCTCTTCAGTTTGCTAAACTAGAAAATGTATGCAAATTAATTCAATGAGGCCTGTTAACCACTCTTAATTCAGTCTCAAGAGTCCCCTTTTAATATGTCAAATGTTCCAATCACATTGCAATTTTCTGCAGTTAGACTTTATACCCTATTATATCTATGTCTGTTTAAGTATATGTACACAAATACACACATATATTTTAGAGAATTAACAGGAATGGGCATTGTTTTATTTTAGAGTCCTAGGAAACTCCAAAACATTTTAGGATGACCTACTTTAAAATTTTTCCTATATTCTTACTCTTTGCCCCTACCAGTCAAAGGAATTTAAGATATGTTTTGACGAATCACAAGCCATGAAAGAAATCTGGCTGGTCTCAGTGGCTCATGCCTGTAATCCCAGCACTTTGGGAGGCTGAGGCAGGCAGATCATGAGGTCAGGAGTTCGAGACCAGCCTGACTAATGTGGTGAAACCCCATCTCTACTAAAAATACAAAAATTAGCTGGGTGTGGTGGCGCGCACCTGTAATCCCAGCTACTCAGGAGGCTGAGGCAGGAGAATCGCTTGAACCCAGGAGGCAGAAGGTTGCAGTAAGGCAAGATCGTGCCACTGCACTCTAGCCTGGGCGACAGAACGAGACTGTCTCAAAAAAAAAGAAATCAAGTCTAGGCCAGGCTTAGTGGCTCACGCCTGTAATCCCAGCACTTTGGGAGGCTGAGGCCAGCGGATCACTTGAGGTCAAGAGTTTGAGACCAGCCTGGCCAACATGGTGAAACCCTGTCTCTACTAAAAGTACAAAAATTAGCTGAGCGTGGTAGCAGGTGCCTGTAATTCCAGCTACTTGGGAGGCTGAGGTCGGAGAATCGCTTGAACCCGGAAGGCAGAGGTTGCAGTGAGCCAAGATCACACCACTGCACTCCAGTCTGGGCAACAGAGTAAGGCTTTGTCTCAAAAAAAAAAAAAAAAAAACTTCAAGTCTAGTTAAGCCTTGATTAATCATGATGCTTAGGAAAGAGAGTTTTCTAGTTATTTTAATGAGTTTAAGAAGAAACCTATTTTAACCCTGGTTGCTGGGAACTTTCCAAAACTAGGTAAGTGTACTTTTCTGCACACACCATCCTTTAATAAATACAGTATCGTAAATGTAACTGAAGCTAGTGAGTCAGGGTTTCATCTTGATGAAAAGCTAGCATCATTGTATATATTGTCCTGTAGTTGATAAAGTTTTTTCTTTGGTGTAATGAACTTAGATGACTCATTTCTACAGACTTACAATACACTTAGCTTATTTTAGCAGAAACAGTTTTATGTTCAAAGTAGGAGCTAATTTGACAAACACTGGAGAAGAAAGTGTATTCAAATGGATTTCAAAATAATAACACCTGTTATTCGGGGCACTTACTGTATGCCAGACACTTCGATAAACAACCTTAAATGCATTACTTACGTGCTGTTATATTTTTCCTCGGCTTATTTACTGAATCACCTCCCCAGTGTTCAAAATCACACTCTACTCACTGAAGGATGTGTAGTTCTGTAACAGAAATTATATAATACATTAATAAGATGTTTTTAACATAGTCACTGGAAATCTTTTCAAATTACTGATTAGCATTCAATAGGATTGCTATTTTCATTTCCTATCCTGTATGTTAAAGATTAATGATTAAAATAACTCCTGAAAATAATAATGACATTCTAAGTAGAATATCATTAAAGAAAAATAATTGGAGTTATGTCGCATTACTAAACCATTATTAGGCATAGGCATTTAATTAGATATTTCATCAAAATGCAATTTTGGAGTACCAGGTTTTTTTGTTTTTTGTTTTTTGTGGCATGAAAGACTAGGAATCTGGAATATAATGAAAACTGTTTTTCTTTGCCGTTTGGGCAATGTGATGAGACCTGGACCCAAGGAAGTTTTACAGACCTTGGTTGGGCAGTCTCATGCCATTGAGTGGTGACTTCCAGGGAGTCAAGTCAGTTTTGCCCTGTTCCATACAAACAACCTTCAGCCTCAGCCAACTACCTTCTACTTCCTTTTGGGGTCCCGGAAAGACTCTAAGAGGGAAAGCAGAGGACCAGCTCAGTTCTTCCACCAACCTTGGAAAAACAATTCCAACTTCATGCTCTTCTCACATTGGACCACATCATTAGCCAGACTCCTTGCTGCCACTTTCTTCACTTGATAAAGCTACCTAAGTAAAAATTAGGATTTTTAAATCACTTTTCTGCTCACAGAATTTTGCCAAGTTGAGAATGAACTCTGTCTTCTGGCATTCAAGACCTGCAATAGGCCTCAGTTGACGTTTATGACCTTATCTCTATTATTGTTTTATTTGAGCCCTTTCCGCCAATAAACTGAACTGCTTCCAAACTCTATATAATTATTTTATTTGTGGGTTGTACAGTTCCTGATGGCAGAGACTTGGTGTTTATCCATCTTGTTTCCCCACAATGCATGCCAGTATATTAGATATAATTTGGTCTTAAAGTTTCATTGAATGCTGTGAGCTCAAACAAAAAAAAAACTGTCATTAATCATACAGGCTGTCTTTCTCCTTGGCATCCACATAATCACCATAACAACAATAATCATTTTGTGAGCATCTACTAAGCCATGCACTTTTGATACACCATCTCAAACCTCCACAACAAGATGCATATTCCTTTTAGTGAAAAAGAAAGGGAGGACTGAAAAGAAAGAATTGGAGAGATTAAATGAAGTCACACTGCTAGTTAACGCCAGTAGCAGCCTTACACTCCCATCTGTCTCTAAAATCTTTGCATTTCCACTTGACCACATAGCCTAATAAACAGGAGGTCTGGCTTTAGAATGTTAGGGTTGCTGAGCCTGCTTGCTGATGGCTCTTCAGTTACAACTTAGGACCGTTGTTGACTGACTTTACCTCTTTCACATTTCAGTGAAATCTGTATTTTCTGAAATGACATCCTTCCCACATGTAGAAAAAAGATGCAGGGTGCATGTATTCAAGCTTCCAAGATGAGTTGTACAAGAAGACTTTTTTCTTTTATTATTTTAGGATATATGTGGCGTTCTTGTGCCTTGAAATCTATGTTTTGTTGTATATGATAATGTATTATATTCTTTCCCTTATCGGTATTTTTTTGATAATGATTGCTTTAGAGAAACATTAGTCAGCATGGTGGAAGGAGCCTGGCATCAGAAATTAAATGATCTGGGTTCAAATCTCAATTGTTCTTTTGGACTTTTGTTGTCCTGGGCAAAAATTACCATTTAATCATTCTGTGTTTCAACATCTTCATCTGTAATACAGCAATTAAGAAGATCAAATGTTCTAGGACATGTAAAATATTTAGCAAAGTTTTTGACATATGACATGTAAGTACTAAATTTAAAAAAAACTTTTAACCCTTTTTAGTTTAGTGCCATGTTTTTGCAAGAATGAAGAAGGGAGGGTTCTGTTCCTTGATAAGCAAACTGATTGTTACTTCTAAAGTGAATTAGAGTCACCTAGAACCCAATTAGGCCTTCTCTTAAGGGCCTGACCTACTCTCTGGTGGTGATTTGCACTGAGGAAAATCTATCATGCTCAAATTTTTAAAGTATTCTCCTTATATGCAGAGCAGAGAAAGTTGTATATCTTAGTCCATTTTGTGTTGCTATAATGGAATACTTGAGACTGGATAATTTATTGAATACCTGAGACTGTGTAATTTAAAGAAAAGAATTTTAGACATGGCACCCAAGGTGTCCGAATAGGAACAGCTCCAGCCTCCAGCTCCCAGCATGAGCGACACAGAAGACAGGTGATTTCTGCATTTTCAGCTGAGGTACCAGGTTCGTCTCACTGGGGCGTGTTGGACAGTTGGTGCTGGTCCGCGGGTGCAGCCCGACCAGCAAGAGTTGAAGCAGGGCGAGGCATCACCTCATCTGGGAAGTGCAAGGGGGAGGGGAATTCCTTTTCCTAGCCAAAGGAAATTGAGACACACAACACCTGGAAAATCAGGTAACTCCTACCCTAATACTGTGCTTTACAAAGGGTCTTAGCAAACGGCACACCAGGAGATTATATCCTACACCTGGCCTGGAGGGTCCCACGCCCACAGAGCCTCCCTCATTGCTAGCACAGCAGTCTGAG